GGAATCATATTCCAAGATAGGCCGGACCAGAGAAACGTGGTAGTGGTATTGGGGTCAGAAAATTCCTTCGACCATATTTTGATAAACCCAAGGACTCCTTTGACTTTATTAATTGTGAAGTCAAAAAGGAAAGACTTGTTGCGATGGAAGGTCATGACGTTACATTTTTTAAGAGGAAGAGCGTTAATAATACATCAATTGTTGAGAGCGTCGAGATCCGATTGAAGAAATAACGGGGTCACCGGATCGCTGTAGCAAAAATATAGCTAGACATCATCAGCATACATTAGGACTCTTGAATTAGGTAAAGCTTGGGGAAGATCATTGATAAATTGGTTTAATATTAAGGGACCGAGATGGATAGAAAGAGAGATAGTTTAGAAAGAGAAGATTGGAAGCAGACGCGCTGAGAACGGTTGCTAAGGTACGCATTAGTCCAGAGAAGAAGTTTAGTCGGAAATCCTAATAGAGATAGTTTGTGGATGAGGAGATTGTGATTAACTGAGTCAAAAACTTTACTAAAATCAGTATAAACTGCGTCAGTTTGACATTGCTTTGCAAATCCGGCAGTTACATAGGAGGAAAATTCAAGGAGGTTAGACGAAATTTACCGACGTCTTACAAATCCGTACTGTGATTATAATAACAGGGAACTACAAAAGTATTGAAGCTGAGAAGTAATAATATTTTCGAAGAGTTTAAAAATGGCAGATAAATTGGAGATACAACGGTAGTTTGATTGTGCGTTTTTAGTTTTCTCGTATCTTTAATATTGTGGATGACACAGATTTCCGTACTTTGTAGGGGCGGAAGGGGATGGGGCGAAATTTGGAAATGCACATGTAGCAGTGAGATCAAACAGGAGTGTAGATACCAAATTTTGTTGCTCTATTCTTAATAGGCTCTGGGATCTGTGGATGCCACACATTTTCGTCTTTTGCGGGGGCGGAGAGGAGTGCAGGTTCGGTATGACGGGAGTGTGGATGTCAAATTGGGTTGCTCTAGCTCTTATAGTCTCTGAGATCTAGGCGCTCACTTTTTGCAAATTTAAAATTGTGGATGCCTCAGATTTTCGCTCTTTGAAATACATTTGTAAATCATATCACAGAAGTCCGGATCGTTGCTCTAGCTCTTATAATCTTTGAGCACTAGGCGCTCATAGGGACGGACAGACGGACAGACAAACATGGCTCAATCGAGTCAGATATTGATGCTGATGAAGAATATATATAATTTATGGGGTCGGAAACGCTTCCTTCTGGACGTAACACACATCCACTTTCACCACAAATCGAAGATACCCCTATACTCATTTTGAGTATCGGGTATAAAAATTAATGTTCGTGTATTATACGATTAAATTAAGGTACATTTTTAACAACAAAATTGGAAAAAATGTTTTGTAGTCAGATGAGACTAATTTGATCGCATTTTAGGGGAAAGCACATATTGGACACTTTAAGAATACTCCCCACGACCCGGGGTACTCTATGTAAATCGTTAAACATGATGGTGGAAACGTCCTGTGTGATATATTCAGGTATTGGTCCAATACATGGGAAAGAAAAAAATGTGTGCTTCCCACTATATAATCATTTTCGACAGCGTAGCACCTGTGCAGCAGTTGATTTCGCTTTCCACCCCAAGGGCAATGACAGCTGCTGGCGATGCAGATTCGGTAACCGAATTCATCGCCATAACTTTTATAGCGTCTGTGTCCGTGGGGTCCGCAAGCTCACTAACTGTCCCGTAAATTCCGATCCCACCAGTAAATGGACTTTCCGCTTTTATACAAAGCAATATAAAAGCCGTTGGATTAAAGGTGGAGAAGTTTAATTTCTCTTATGCCAGGGAGATAACTTCAATTAAAAAAAGGTTTCTCCCCAACTCACTTTGACACCATTTGTTTTGCCAAATTTTGGCCAGAGCGTTTGATGTGAAAGAGTTCAGTCTAAGAAGAAGAATAGGCCCCTCACAACTCTTACAAATCATCCCAATGGGCCATCAAAACTAACTTCTCTTTTAGTAACCTACCAGAGTGTTAGAGGCTTACTTAGTAAGCTCAGCATTCTTTTCCGGGATAGTGTTGCATTTGCTTCCCACGTTATTTTGTTTATATTGTTTCCGAGGTTTTGGCAGGACGGTACACAACTTAAGAAGGACCGTTCGTCTCGACGTGCTGGAGGGGTTCAGATTGCAGTGGACTTCAAGATCAACACGAAATGGAATTCCTGTGTGTACAACTGATTCGTCTGATCGTATATTCCACCTTCTTCTGATATTTCAATTTATGAGCACATGACTTTGTTGACGGCTTGCTTGACCAGTCCCTGTCTCAAGTCATTCATGTGAAAAATTCTTTGGGTCGATTGCTTCATCTGTGTTTGTATCGGATCTGTTAACCCGAGCCGTTCCGCTCACTATACCTGAAGAAGACTACCATCCTACTTTCGAAGTGTCGCTAGATATAGGACCAACTGTATTGGATCGGTCGAGTACGCTACCTGAACGTGTCCGCTGCTTTCGTAAAGCCGAGCTTGCGAAGCTTAATAACCCCATTAGGGATTTTGATTTATCCGCTTAGTACTTATGCACTGATGTCATAAAGGCACAAACATTTTTTACAATGCTCTTGGCACATTTTTTGTGACCGACTAGAGTGGCGGAAGGGTCAAAGCAGTGGCTTAAAATAATGTGTGCGTGTTTTCCTCAATCTACTTTGATGAATGTTGATATTATTTTTTTTTTAATTTATGCTAAATTAAATAGAGATTTGAGGAAAATTCAAATTAACCGTTTTATTTGGCTTGTGCCGGAAATATTGGTGCCTAAAGTGTACATTACGCGGAGTGTACATATGTACATAATCAATAAAGAATGTATTCTTTTAGGTTTTTTTTAATTAAACAAAGTTTTCTTTAAGTTTGAACTTGTGATATAAATACCAGAGTTATAGCATTTAATAAAAAGGGATGGATTTTGTATGATCATCTCTGAGACCTCGATTGAACTGCAGTTTTTGGATAAAAGTCTTTTCAGTAAGTATTAAATGTATCTACATAAAGTATGTACATATGTTAATGTTATACCTTAAATCATTTGTATTCTATTTAGCGTTTCAGGGGCGGTATTTCATCTAAAGACAACACTTTCAGTTGTGACCAGATGTTTTTCGAATTAACCCTTTAATATGTTTCCCAATCCTAATCGATTCGAATGCAAAAAATAAATATTCGGAGCCATGAATCTCTTTTTTCTCTACATATACACTCCCATAAAAAAAACATTTTACATAATGTTCTGGTTTAATACCAAAATTTTTTACATACATACTATATAGACTCGTATATCTTTTGGTACGTTTCGGTAAAAAATAAATTTCTTTCTATGTTGATCGTGTTGTCAATTACTGTTTATAAAAAAAAATTTTTTTTTTAATATTAGGTATTCACACGATCGTATTCCGAGGAAAATCAGAGCTACTTACACTGACGCAGAGATACTTTGGGTACAAATTACAGATCCGTTTCGATTGATTTTCTAAAATTTTGGCAGTTTTGGTACTGCAAACATTCAAAAAATTTATGTTTTGCGTTTGACAGCATCATATTTTCCAGAATATTCTGGACTATTGACAGTTTCATTCAATCGCCATTTAATATTCCAAAAGATCTTTAAAACTAGGTGTAATATTTAAAAAAGGTTACCATTAAAATAAATTAAATTTAAATAACTAGAAAAAGTGAATCAAAAAAAAATAATAAAGTCAATCAGCTATGGTTAACGGAAATCGCAAAAAGTAGCGGCTTGACAAATCGTGTCAAATTGCTTCCGATTTTCGAAAATCTAAATATTCTTAAGATTATAAAAACCATTTGAATAATAAATAATAAACAATAATATATATATTTTTAATACGTTGAATACCGTATTGGCTGACTTAATATTTATTAAATTTTAAATTTATTTCATATAAATGTATATATTAAATATATAAATTGCTAAATTGATTACTAATCACCCCTCAAAATGTCGAGTTTCCGATGACTGATAAAAAGCTGGCATGTGGGGGCAAAGTAAAAGGAGGAAAGTAGTATAAAATAAGAAAATAACATTATTAGCTCTAAATATTTAAACAAAATCCTATATGGAAGTGAAAATGAATTCTTATTAAAGTTTAATTTCCGTGAGTTGCTAATACAAGAGTTCTAAGTTAAGTTAATTAACCAAGTTGATTAATTCTGATCATCTTAATCCATAATATTCATCACATAACATAACTAATTCATTCATTTTTGTTTCAGTCTCGATATAAATTTGGGTTATATGATGAAGTTTCATACAAATACGGAAAACGAGTACATCACTGTAACTGGATAAGATTCCTTACAGTTTCCTCTTCATATGATTCCAACGTAAATCTTATCTGCACAAAGGTCAAGGGCGATCCTATGTATGAGGTAGTTAAAGCAATTATGATACATCAAGAATTGGTGGTATACTATTTGCCAGAACGGCCGGAACAGAGTATTGTTACACATTTACACTCAATATTGTATAGAAAAGCAATGGAATCCTTTGTAAAAGGTAGGCAAGATTAAAAAATAATACTAATCTTCATTTATCGTCTATAGCAACAATAATAACACTGTGCGACAGTGATTTTATACTTTTCACGAAACAAAAATTAGGATGTAGGCAAGGTTGAGTAAATCTCATTATCACATAATTAGAGTTTTCCACCATAATGCGGTTTTTTAATTTATAAAAAAGAGTTTTTGAGAATATTTCAAACTTTAAGTATCGGCATGAAATATTGGCCCACAATTTAATTTTGTAAAGTACATTCAAAATTGTAAATTTAGTCGCACAGTGAAATAAAGTGTGTCGAATTTGCATGTCCTATTCAAACTTTATAATATAATTTCTTTTTAGACACTCCACTGGATTTATCATTATCATTAATGTATAGATTACCAAATTTACCGCTTTCTCCTCCAGCAAGTGAAGACGAACATAAGACAATTTTGGGCAATTATTCAGGTATTAGGTTACAGTTTATTCAATCTACGAATGATCAATTAGGCTAATTTCTTTTGAAAATGATTCCTTTTTAGCTATAAATAATTACATATATACGACACCAAAAAGACGAGCTATGAGAAATGAGCGGTCTCTGTTACCCTGTGACGTTTGTAATAAGTCCTTCGATCGACCGAGTCTTTTAAAAAGACATATGAGGACACATACAGGTTTGTAATTGTAGTTTTTTTTCCTGGTACCAAACCGACATTTTTTGAGGTAAGTTTCATATAACTTAATTATGACACATCTAGCTTTAAGGAACTTAAGGTATCGATTTAAAAATCTATGGTTAAGCGGCTAAGTTCCAGCAGTTTGAACAATCCTGCAATATCCACATTTTATCTTTATCAACATCTTGCTACCTCTGCCTCAGTGTAGTTTTTACTTTATTAACTTTATACAGAGACCATCTTGGGAGAACGGGGTGAATTTTCGAAACATGTGAAAGAAAGATTAAGATTAAAATCGATTTGGTCTGAATTGTGAATTTTTTACAAGTTGGAATGAGTAAATAAACAATCGTATTGGCTAATACTTCAGTTGGATCTTTCAAGTCGACATCAATAGAATTATTTCATCTCAACACAAATCCGCAATATTATTATGTAAAATGTTTTTATCAAAATGTTTGTGACCCCATCTGCGCCTGGCCCTCTAGCCAGCCGTCTCTGTGAGGGATTACACTTCCTCTTTTTTTCGTGCAAGATCAAGGGTTTGTAGGCATATGATGGAATTTAGCGAATCATTTGGGATGGTGCGGAGAGCTCCACTGCTGCAGATTGCCCAATTATTTTTCGTGATCGCGGAGAGGAGTTTTGGTTTAACTATTGCTAAATATATCGAATGGGTTCTTGCCCCATTTTAAGCCAATGGGACTATTGCAGGTGGAGAGGGCTGTCGTTTCCTTCTTCGATTTTCTATATGGGGGCCTGAGAGCCGAAACCATGAATTTATTTGTGAATAACAACAGTTCCGTTTACGAGGGATTTCGATTCTGTCCCTTCTGATGGAAGCTCACGCAGCTTTGCGGTCATTAAGTCGCAGAGTGCTTGAGGGTATTTCCCCGAGAAGATAATTTCAACGTCGTCCGCGTGGGCCAAAACTTTGTGACCCTTCCAGGTCACATAGAGTTTTGCTGACTGATATGTTCCATAGAAGACGAGACTGGAAATTGAGCAATTGATCAATGAGCATAACCAAGTAACGGTTCCGTAATGGCACCCGGTACGATGTTTTTGAAGGCCCCCTCGATATCGAGAAAAGCTATTAAAGAGTATTTTTTGGGACGCAGAGATTTCTCTACCACTGAGATTACTTCATAAAGTACCGTTTCCGTAGATTTTCCTTTTCGGCAGGCTTGTTGTGTGCATGACAGCATCTGAAGATCTATAATTGTCCTCAGTTGTCGCCTAATAAGTCTCTCAAGAGTTTTGTGAGGGATAAAAGATAGACTTATTGGTCTTAAGTCTTTTGGAGTTGAGTGTCAGCCTTTTCCCGCTTTTGCGGATAATGACTTGCCTCTGGTATTGTCCACAATGCCAGTATCTTCCTGAAGATACATTTCAGCCGTATCTCCGGCTTTGGAATTTGGGCCGGAATGCTTGTTTCCCATATTTTTCCCACGAGATGTAGAGAAGGGGAAGGGTCAACCCGGGCAGAGATCTACGTTGCTCGGGTAAGCCATCATTACAAAAGGGGAATACCAAGTCCCTGAGATCTTCTTTCGTGACTGTGGGTAGGTAACGTGTAGGGATGGCAAGATTGTGAGCTACTTATACGAGGCGTCATCACAAGCAAATCGTCGGTATATATATATGATATATATGTCAGAGGCCGATGGACGGGGCTTCTTGTGTAAGCCTCTGTCAGCTCACGCACTACCCGACACAGTATTGCCCCATTCAATTGCTCTCCTTCCGCCATTTCTTTTTGATCTCGCTCTCTCAAATCCAACATCACCGCGCCACACTCGGCTGAGATGACTCTGTCACACTCTCCAGCCTCGCTCTAAGCAAAAATGCGAATTGAAAGCATAACAGACATTAAAAATTAAAAATGAATTTATTTAAATTACTCCTTCCAATTTAAATTAATTTCAAAGATCATAATTTTTACTTATGTCAAATTTTTCTCCGAGCTGTAACGAACCGTTCTTCTCCGTCTGATGCAGCTGGGCTGGCTCAGCGGTCGATAAGCTCGCTGCAACAATATTTGTATGTTGCCCCGACGACAAGTAAGAAGGCACGGGTTGGGTCTTGTACTGGTATGTTAAAATGCTTTATTGGTATCTTAAGTCTATCTTACGCTATTCCGACTCCGGCGCTGGTTCTCCTCTTGGTTCTCCTCTGTGGTCCGATGAGCGCGTCGCTCCCTGGGCCACCCACGGCGTCGCCAAGCGTGGCACCGCCGGCTCAACTGACTGGGGCTAGCGATTCTTGGCACGTGGCCCAAATTCACCTCTCAGTCAGGCGCCTGACGCGTTCGCTCTCACTCGACTCACTTGGCTTTTCGGCCCGAGGGTGCCTCACTCCTGGTGGGATGCGCTTCAAGCGTGGCGCCGTTGGTTCAAGGTATTGGAGTCTTTGGCTCTTGGCTGCACGCTCGAGTCCGCCTCTCAATCCTCACACAACGCGTTCGCTTTCTACGGTTCTTTTCCCTTCGCTTGGTCTCACTTTCGTGGCTCACTATTCACTTCACTCTTGTTGGCTCCGTCTGCTGACTGTCCACTTTCCTGGTCGCGGCCCTCCTCTTATAGGCTCGCTTCTGCGTCGGCGCCGCCGATGCCGCCTGGCGCTAACGGCACTTTCCGCCATGCGGTGCCCGTATTTTTCCATCGGCGTTCCCTTGTCGCTCTCCAACGGGACCTGGCTGGTGGCGGGATCTCATGACCATATTTGGTCATGCGCTGGGCCACTGCCGGCCCGATCCCGTCATCCCGCTGCTCGCTCTCCAGGGGTCCTCCCCTCTCATCTTGGGACCCCGGGAGAGCTCTCCTCGGGAATTCGCCGCCTCCGGATATCCCCGGATAACGGCCGTTAGCGCTTAACCCTATACTGCCCCCTACGTGTGGGAATACCTTTCCTCACAGTGCTTGAGATAAAAACATATATGTCTTCAGTTAATTAAATATCGATCTCGCAAGAGTGAAATCAATTCTATTGATACTCGTATCAATCCAAATATTGAGCAGCATTTTATAGAAAAATTCAGCCTAACCCACAAAATGGAAATACCCGTAAAATTATAAGACCCTTAAGATCGCATTTAATTGAATATAAATTCGTTAATATACTTGTTTTACTTTCATTTAACATAGTTGATAAATGTCACAAGATGGCCCGAAAGACTACTTAGCTTAAGCGTTACGATGCTTAAGCGTTACGCTGCGGTGAACGCCGCGCAGTGGGACATTCCGCCGTTTCAGCTTGCTAAATTAATAACTTCTGAACAATTAAATCTTAAAAAATGTAATCTGCTTAAGTAAATTATGCTACAATGTCTAAAAGCTTCACAATAATGGGATAAAGCTAAACTTTGTTGCCAGTGCATATTTTCCTATATAAAATGCTACATTTTTATTTTTTTAGATCGATAAAGTACTTATTATTATTTATTTATTATATTATTATATTATTTTTTATTTAATTTTCAGCATTAAAAAACTTTAATTGGCTGAATTTGTTTGTTTCTGTAAAATATTCCTCCACATCCTGTTTTGTGGTAGGAATATCTAATAAATTCTGAAGAATAATTGCTTGTCGATTTATTTTGTGATCTCACATATCTAATGAATGAAATATATGGATCTGATGAGGCTGCCGACATGTTGAAAAGATCTTGGTTTTGCTTAATTCGTGATGTCTTGCTCGTATTCATATTCCTGTAATTTGTGTAATCTTTGTCTCTCATTTCCTGGGCTTCTGAAAACCTTTCAGGGCTGCATTTAAATTTAAAATTATGAATGCAATTTTCCAAGGCAGCTTATTATTCGAACTATGAAACAGTAGTTCAAAAAGATTTTCTTGACCTTTTCGAATTTATGATAAAATATCGGCAGTTGGCCCCATGTTGGAACGGGTTTAAATGGGTTCAACTATCTTTTATGAAGTCTAAATATAAATAAGTGTACATTATATATATACTATTTTCAGGCGAAAAACCACACGAATGTTTGGTATGCGGCAAAGGATTTAGCACATCAAGTTCTCTTAATACGCATAGGTAATTATCTGGAACAAAAAATAGAAAAAAGCTAACTGATAACAAAATTTCACAATTTTAGAAGAATTCATTCAGGAGAAAAGCCTCACGAATGTCAAGTATGCGGAAAAAGGTTCACAGCGAGCAGTAATCTATATTATCACAGAATGACCCATATAAAGGTAACGTACATTATTTTATGTATTCTATATAATTATTACTATTGAAGAAAAAATATATAAACACTTATATCGAACCACTTCAGATAGAGTTGCATATCCTTGAAGCTTGAGTTAAAGTTCATTTTATAAATTAATCAGCTTAATTATTAAACAATCAGCTTACGAATCTAACCGACAGCTGTTACCTTATTAATTATATGTAGATGACTCACAAATGTATTCAAGCCAAATTAAAACTGAGTTGGAAGATTTTCTTGGCTCTCTCGGTTGGATTTAAAATTGAAATTATGGTTTGGTCAAACAGAACCCCAAAACACATTTTACTGATAGAAGGTTCAGCAGCTTTGACGAGAAAGTTTGAAGCTTGATATGCAATTGACGTGATATTGAGTGATAATTAAAAAAAAAAACAAAATCGGGTCGTTATTAGCGCCCGAATTGGACACAGATGAAATATTATAAAATTCTAATTAAATAAAAGGATAAACGGAGTGCAAGAGTTGCTCTCTTTCTCTCCATGTTTTGCTCGTCTCTCATGACAAGTGCGAACAAATTTGAGATCAGGATCCCTGCAATACCAAAAGACTTATAGAAAGAGCACTTTCGTATAGTTTATAGAAATCATGAGATCACATTAGCGTCCACCAGAATCGGAACCTACGAATAATTCTAAGAACATTTCATTATGAAACTATGTGTCTAAAATTAATTTCTAGCTCCCGCTGAGAAGCAGCAGCAAACAAATATTCAGTTTTCACTTTCACAAAAGTTTTCCGATTTACTTTTGAAATCACATAAACTGGTGCTCACGTTTTTACAATCGACCAGATTTCTTTTCACTTTTCAAACTTTTCAAAACGAAAACATTTTTTTCGACGAAATGAAAAGTAATAAGCTTTTTAAACAATAAATTGTAATATATGACTTATTGAAGCATAACATAAATTTGACACCATTACCATGGCAATTTAGTTTGTGCTTTCTTTATTAATTATTTTGTTTTAACCCAACCTCAAATTTGGCTCGGAAATATTGGGTCAAGCCAACAAGCCTTTTCGTTTTTGTGCGAACAGTTGACGCACATTTTTCGTGCAACAAATTAATGTTCAGGCGATTTAACTTTCAATATGCATGCTCTAACTCACAGTTCGTCATGTTCGAAACCAGGTCAGCTGTTTTTGCCTGCCAAAATCGAGGAAAAAATTAAACATATCGATTACAAACATTTGTGAGAACTGTGGAAACTTAAAACGAAACGTTTTAGCTATTTGAAAGTTATCCCGTTAAAAAAATCCTTTTGACTGACGTTTTATATCTCAATCGAATCGCTTAAGCTGTATCGGAATCCTGGATAAACTGTTCATTGTCGTTGGTTAACCAAACCCAACAACGTAATTAGCTTACTTTCAAACAATTTTAAAATATTGACTAATTTCATTATAGAAGTTCATGTACTGATCTATTTAAATATCAAATTTGTATAATTAATTGCTATAGGGCAGTAAACCTTTATTTAATTTTACTTAGTCAATGCAATTCATGCCACAAAATCGTCGAGGAATATTGGTGGTATTGGGCTCTATCTTTACTGTACATAGTCCCGGAGTCAAAAGTCAAAAGCCAGATGACCTAATTTGGTGCGAGGAAAAAAATGTTTACTTAAATTTTAATGTAGGTAACTGGACCTTCTACAGGTCCAGGTGAGCTTGGGAGGGTTTCATCACTCTCCCAGGCTACCGCCTGAACCTAACCTAACCTAACTGATAATTTGAAAAATATAAAAATATTATTCTGATTTTCCCATTTTGTTCAATTTGATACATTTTTAAGTGATTAAAAACTTGATTTAAACAAATTATTAAATAATTTTTTGTAAAAAGATGAATCAGAATCGAGCTTATGATTACAAAATGTGTTATTTTTTTAAATACCATTGTAAGGTTAACTTAACTTGAAGTCTTTATGATTCTCAGCGAGGGAATTTATTTTAGACAAAAATTTCATGGTGAAATTTTCTTAGAACTTTTCGTTTTTTGCCATAACGGCAACTGCATGAAAGCAGTTCAGAGCTTTCTTGATTGATATGACCTCCGCTTGGAAGACACGACAGTGATCAGGGAGCCCGAAATCGTGCCGTTTGCATGAGTGACCTATCTGTTGCGGTAACCATTCGATGGAATCTCTAAGACGTATTGCTGCCATTTCTACCCTTTTTTTTCGTGCAAGCTGACGAACGGAAGTAGGTCGTTCGCTATCCTCAACCTGCGACCCGTCCGGTGGCGCCAGCTATGCCCCGCTTGAGCCACCTCACCAGCTCATTAGAACAGACTTTTTGTATCTGTAACAAAGCCGACATTTTCTGAAAGACTTGGGCTTTCAAAAAATAATAATGAATAGTGGTATTTTTATTCCATTTAGTTTTTTATTGTGATAAATTACATATGTATATGTAGATTTCAATTTCTATTGCCGAGATTCTACATTTATTCCCAATACTCTGTCAGTGTGGCTTACCTCCAGGCGCACATAGTGCATGACAAAGAATGTGTGAGATAGAGACTGAAAATGAGTAAGCGCGTGGACGTCGATGCGTAGTCACTGAAAAAAGATTGTTTCCTTCTGGCTATAATAATAATCCGATCTGGTCCAAATCCATATCTGCTAGATATGATCATGCGTTTTTGGTTTTTTTCGTATTTTATTTTTTGACATTGCCAAAGATTTTCGTCCTTTGCGGGACGGAGAGGACATGTAAAAATTTTGAAGTTTCTTTCAATGTGATATCACAGGAGTATGGATATGAAATTTCATTGCTCTAGCTTTTATATTCTCTGAGAACTAGGCGTCAAATAAGACGGTCAGACATACATGGCTTTTACGACTCGGCTACTGATACTGATAAAGAATATATATTCTTTATGGGAAACGCTTCCTTTTGGATGTATTTGACATGCATCCATACTTTCACCACTAATCTAATATACTCATTTTAAGTATCGGGTAAACAAAAAAACGACATTTTCTTATCAATTTGGGGTTTTACAATTGTTTAATAAATTATTATTTTTTCTGTGGCAAGTTTTTTTTTTTATTTTAAAAAGTTGGCATATTTTTTTATAGGTAGTATTTTTTTTACTTATTTGTATTGTTTGTATTTTTTAGGAAAAACCACATAAATGTAATTTGTGCTCGAAATCATTTCCCACACCCGGAGACTTAAAAGCACATATGTATGTGCACAGTGGCTCTTGGCCTTACAAGTGCTCAATTTGCCACCGCGGATTTTCCAAGCAAACTAATCTAAAGAATCATTTATTTCTACATACAGGTAAGCTAAGCATAACACGTAAATAAGTATTTTTGTTAATACATCGCTCAAAAAAACTTTCTGTCTTATTTATTTAAATGCAATGTAAATACATTAGCTTAGCTTTGACATGAAATATTCATTAAACTAACGCTTCTTAAGTTTTTTTTCGGAATAGATCGACTAATAGACTTCAGACTATTTTATGGGGGCAAAATGGTGCTACATATACGTAAAGTTATAAGAAAAAATATAAAATGATTTTCAATCCAACTCTCAATAATTCGTGAACAATTTGTTACTTAAACTAAGAGTTTGAAAAAAAATATATACATATAGTGACCATCCATAATATCCATATCCTTATCTCCACTTCACATACACATTATGTTTATGTCCAATTCACCCACCCCATCTACAAAAGAAACAGGACACCACCCAAGAATCAATAACTGATTCTTCCCACACTCCAAGCTAGAGTCCACTAATCTAAACAATGGACCCCATTGATTCATCAAAGCCAGAATCACGCCACTCACGAGAAATCGATTCTTTAGAATCATGCCACTCATGAGGATGCCTTTCATCAAAGCCGACGCATCCCCAAATATCGGTCCAGGCACGTACGCCACCGACACGAAGACGCAGCACAGGAAAGCAACACCCGAAGCCAGAGTCGAGAGCTCTAAGAGAAGGGCTCATGGAAACTAGCCAACAATAGAGAAATAAGTTCCGTTTGAGAAAAGCAGACATACAGTAAAGTCGGGGAATTCATTAAAATCTTGTGACATAAACATCTTAAGTTTGTAAAATAAAAAACCTTTTTAAAAACTTAAAATCGAGTTGCGGATATTTAACTATATATATAAAATATATATATACAAAAATTCACCTGTGACAATATACGGTTTTTAGTGATGCTGGTTTCCAGGTGTTCTTTATGTAATAAAAAATAATTAACAAATATGTTAATCAACACAGCTGGTCGTAAATTAAGTCTTATAAAAAATGGCATTTAATGCTACATATGTACATACATACATATATGGCAAAACTTCATCTGGAGTAACCAACAAGGTGAAATTAATACTAGTCGAGCCGTTTAGGAGCGGCACGTATTGGGTTAACACTCAGGAAACGAAGTCTTATAGTTATGTATATGTATATATAAATGCTCTGTTTGTTTGTAGCTCTTATAAAAACTCGAAAAGTACTGCACCGATTGAGCTAAATTTTGACATATTGCAGTCTGGCATTTGAGTAAGGGATGCGTGTTTTTTTGCTTTCTCGATCCAAAAGGGATCTCACTAAGAACTAACAGTATATACAATATAGTGGTATTTACAGTGGTATTAGGCGATTTAGGGAAAGTAGTACTGCTACAATATCATAGAATTCAGTCCCAGTCACGATTTTAGTATTTTTGTACGAATATTTTGAAAAGTAGGACTTTCCTAGTGGTCAAATCTAACTAAAAGAATAAATAATATTTTAGAGTATCAGCTTCCATAGGTCAAATCTGTGCCACGACCATTTTTTTATTCAAATTTATTCAGTTATTATTTATTAAATTTATTTATTATTCAAATTTATATTTTAACAAAAAGTTCCTTTAACTGAGTTAATGTATCCCTGTGTAAATTTCAGGTGGCGATAAGTTATGACATCGAAATTCGCAGTTTTTTCGTTAATATCATTTTATAAATACATAAAATATTACAAATAAATTTTTGATCAAATTAAGAATCATTCATTACACTTCAATTTTAAAAACAAATCAATGTGCTTGGTTTGCGAGAAAACGGACTTTACTGACAACCTATTCAAGTGCCGAGGAGTTTATTCACATAGATATACATACATATATCAAACGTATAACAATATACCATCAATTAGCTAGGCTATAAAGTTACAGAAGCAATACTTAAATTTTATCAAATTGCCAAAACACCACTACAAAAGTATTTATATTTCTAGGTGACAAGCCGCATGGTTGCCCGATATGTAGCAAAAAATTTGCACTGGCGTGTAATTTAAGAGCACATGTGAAGACTCATGAAGGTAAGCTTAGTCGTATGAATTTATTATAACCGAAGAATATGTCAATGTCAAAAAGGGATGCATCAGCTTTTAACCTATGTATTTAAAAACCATTTATTCAAAATTTCAAGGGTCGACTTATAACATTTCATAACAATATTTAAATAATACATTTTGGCATGACAAATGATGGATCAGCCAAATAATCTTCGAAGGAACGCTTCAAGAATAAAAATTGAACGAATTCCGAGGTTTCTACAGTGGCGAGTACGTGTGGATACATGTTTATCACTTTTCACTTCAAGCGCCTGTAAAATCTTTAAAAATGAATCAATCCTTGTCATCCTTTTTAAAGATCCATTAATTTATTGAGAATGAAAAAAGACAACAATTTCAATTCAAATAGATCCTTTTCCCTAAGAGATTTTAATTTTTTCAAAAAAAGAGCATGTATCCACTTTTGCACGTTTCAAATTTGTTTACTTTAATATTTTTTTAAAAATATTTGTTCCAAAGGGCCTTAGCTGTTATCATATTCCGAATAAGTATTGGCATGCTCTCGACTAAATTTAGTAGGTGCTGGCAAGGTATCATCCGCCACTCCGACCTCACGCGCTCCCAAAGACTCACTCAATCCCTTTGGTGCAGACTCATACTTTTCCAGTGTTTTTTAAACAGAGCCCATCGATTTTCAATGGGATTTAGATCTGGGCTATTGAGCAGGCCACTGGATTAAGTGAAAACTCGAGTTATTGGGACGATTTTTCACGAATTTAGCCTTGTGCGTCGGTCTGTTACAATAGCCCTCATGGTTGTTGTGAACTCCGAAATGCGATATTTTAAAAGGAGATGGATTGGCTATTATTCTATTGAGAAGTTCAGCGTACAATGCTTGTAAATGCAGCCAACGATTTTATTTTTCGAAGTTTTAGTTGCTCTACAGATTGAAAGGTGCTGAAGCGAATTCACCGTCCAGATCCTTGATGAGCACAACAGCTCTAGCTACCACAAAACGCAGCCCTCCTCCCGCCCAACCGACCGAGGGGCGCTGCCGAATGACGCGCGTATCCGAACCGAACGCGAACATGCAGCAAATATAGCTGTTAAACTAATATGCGAGGAAAATTAGTTCAAAACTTACTAAGAGAAAGCTTTGTGAGTATTAGTAATCTAATAAGAGGAAGGGTCTCAGTGGTGCATATAATCTTGTAGGGGAATTCTAATCCGAGCATAACACCCTAAATGGTTCATGAAAGGAATAATTCGATCTGCAAAGTGGGAGGGACAACGATGTATATTTTCTATTAAATCTAATAAGAATCGTGAAGTTTATGCGGCTCAACAGATCAGGGCTACCCACAATCATCACCATCAAGTTGTGCATAAAAATCACACCAAGCATTTTTCTGCGGTTAATTATGAATGGGATGTTTACTATTAACAATCTACTAGAGTAAGATGGAAGTCTCACACCTTCATCCCAGTTAAGGCCCCTCAGAGCAAAGAGTAAAAAGTTGTTCTGTACTGATTCTATACGGTCCTGGTGTACAATGGCTATGGCTGTTTTTCTGACACAACAATTCAAAGCTTGCACAAGTATCAAAGGAAAACAGATGGAAAAATATATTGTAAGGGTCTATAAGGGTCCTAATTAAGTTTGTGGAGACCCAACGTTTTTCACAGGACGCAAAATAGTTTTACAGCTTCGTAAACAGAAAGCTCAGAACGTCCGCATACCCATCCTCGCTTTTTCCAAACGATACGTTTACCCAGGTCGAACGGCCTTTTCAGTCCCATGTAAGATGAATGTTCTTTACTTCATGATCTTCGACTAGTTAAGCCGGTGTTTTCACCGGGTCCAGACATGGTTCCAGGTTGTGTACTCATTTACTGCGCCGAGGCTCTGTGTGGACACTTGCTTAAACTATTCACCCTGTACATCGATTCTTCTTGCTTCCCCCCGATCTGGCAGGAATCGTTTATAATTCATCTCTATAAAAAGGGTAGCAAATCTGACGCAAAAAATTATAGAGGTATAGCAAAGTTATCCGCTATTCCCAAAATGTTTGAGAAGGTTTTAACGACGCACTTGCAACATCTCTGCAAGTCACTTATATCTCCAACTCAGCATGGATTTATAAGGCGGCGATCAACCACCACGAACTTGTTAGAGTTTACCTCTTTCATTATTAAAGGCTTTCAAGGTAACTTACAGACGGATGTTATTTACACCGACTTTAGTAAAGCATTCGACTCTGTAAACCATTCCCTTTTAGCATACAACCTAGGATTTCCGCCCAACCTCCTGAGATCGATTTCTAGCTAAATTTGTTTCAGGTCGCAAAGAGTATCAAGTCCTCGAGTACTTATGTATGCGGATGATGTTAAACTCTGTTTCCAGTATAAGGACATTTTATTTCATTCTTGCTTGCTATCCGATCTCAATAACTTTTTAGTCATGGTGTTTTGTTACGCCTTAATGCCTCGAAATGCAAAGTTATAAAATTTCATCATTCTTGTTGGCTCCAAACACCCTATGTGTTGGTTCTCTTGAAATAATTACCCTGGTGTATGATCTTGGTGTTATATTAGACGTCAAGCTAAAGTTTTCTGAAGAGGTGGTCAAAGGAATTTGACGACCTCGCTAGTTCGTCCGATCTTAGAATACGGCTCCTGCGTATGGTGCCCTCAGTACAAAGTACACCAGGACCGTATAGAATCAGTACAGAACAATTTTTTACTCTTTGCACTGCGGGGCCTTAACTGAGATGCGTGTGTGAGACTCCCATCTTACTCTAGTAGACTTTTATTAGTAAACCTTCCATCCTCAGTTAACCGTAAAAAAGTGCTTGGTGTGATTTTTGTGCACAACTTGATCAGGGGTGACATAGACAGCCCTGATATGTTGGCCCGCATAAACTTCACTATTCCTATTAGGCTCACTCGAAATTGTATACCATTGTTCCTTCCACTTAGTAGATCGAATTATTCCTTGCATAAATCGGTTAGGGTCTTATGCTCGGATTAGAATTCCCTCTACCATATTATATCCACCATTAATTCTCTTCCTCTATTGAGTTACTAATCCTCACACACCTTTGTAGTAATTAGTAATTGTAGTGGTATTTTTAGTTTCTTAGTAAGTGTGCTAATTTTCGTCGAATATTAGTCTAACAACTATCTTACTATCATGTTCGCGTACGGTTCGGCTACGCGCCGCGCGTCATGCGACAGCGCACCTCGGTAGGTTGGGCGGGAGGAGAGCTGCGTTTATCCTGGGATCCGCGATTACTTTATGAAAGATTTGATAGGACCAGAAAAAGGCAGGAAAATATAGAGGAGGTCCTTTAATGCTTCCAACAAGTCCAGTTGAGACCGCAGCGAGACTTGATCAGATCGACAACGCCACCACCAATATGACCGAAACCCGTACAGCTAGTGGGTGTATACATAAGGGAAACGGTCGTTGGAATAACTTTGCTATCAACTTTCGGCTCTCTGATCTAAGGGAAATGCAAGCCACTCAGACTGACAACGCAATGCACACGGACATCATAGCATATTCTTCGATTAGCGAGCGGGCATAAGATAAATAAGAGCGAGCTCTGATAGAAGCGCAACGACCGCCCTTCGATTTCGAATTATAGTACAAAACGAGGGGGAACGTTGTGAGTTGCTGCGGACAACGCAACTCTACAGTTATACCCGATACTAAGTCAGTATGGCTCTCCTCCGGCAGACGCCATTAATATTAAACGACACGACAAAGAGTGCGTGCGAGAGACAGAAAATCAGTCTGAGCGTGACGTCGGGTGCTGTGTAGCCACTGCAAATTGATTTGTTCCTTTTGGCTATAAAAATTATCTGATCTGATACAGATTCAGTAATCTGATAGATATGGTCATTCTCTATGATTCTGCGTTTTTAGTTTTCTCGAATCTGCAATATTGTGGATGCCACAGATTTTCGTCCTTTGTGGGGGCGGAAGGGGGTGGGGCGAAATTGAGATATACGTTTTATAGTTAGATCTAGCAGGAGTGCGGATACTAAATTTGCTTACTCTAGCCTTAATAGTCTCTGAGATTTGTGAATATCCCCAGATTTGCATCCTTTGCGGGGGCGTGGGGGGTGTGGCGCAATTTTTACACGAAACGGTCAAGGTCCGATATCACAGGAGTGTGGATACCAAATTTGGTTGCTCTGGCTCTTATGGGTTCTGAGATCCTTGAACTCATATTTTGCAATTGGCAATTCAATCTTCTACGATTCTGCGTTTTTAGAGGCGGGGCGAAGTTTTGAAATATTCTTGTAGCAGTGACATATCACAGAAGTCTGGATCCAAAACATCGTTGCTCTAGCTCTTATAGTCTGAGATCTAGGCGCTAATCGGGATGGACAGACGGACGGACGGAGGGGCAGAGCTATATTGACTCGCGTTTTAATGCTGATCAACAATATATACACTGTATAGTATCGTAAACGCTTCCTTCTGGATGTTATGTCCATCCATATCCACCACAAAACTAATATGTCGCTAAACGCTTCGAGTACCGAGTATATAATTTTAGCGACTAGTAGACGAAAAGTACCAATCGTTCAGTCTGTTTCTAAAACTAATATATCGCTAAACTCTTCGAGTACCGAGTGTATAATTTTAGCGACTAGTAGACGAAAAGTAGCAATCGTTTACATTTGGTTTCAGCTGCAATTGGAAGTACTATTGAGTTGATCTCACCTTAAATCTATCCCACATGTACTGTCCGCTTTTGCTATTACTTTTGGCTATTAGTCGTAGTGAAACATACATATGTATAAGAAAATAATCGTTTCTCTTGTCATAAAACAAATTATTATTGAAATTAATTCTTCCTTTTTTTAGGGTATCTTCAACCGGATTACAATAAAGAATGCCTTCGATGTGCAAGCAATAGTGTTAATATGGACAGAAAATACTGTAAGGGATGTACTTCTATAAATTGTTCCACAAATGATATTGACAATTCTTTGGTGGATAGAGAAGCTATTACAAAAGAAGACTTTGATACTTTTTTCTTGCAAATTTAGTGACTGATTTATCGAGTGACATTTTTTAAAGTTTTGTAATCCAACCCTGTTAAAATCTATCTTTTAAGTTGTGATAATAATTTAAAAGAAAATATGTTCAATAATTTTTTAAGTTTTTTTGTTACATAGAAATTTACAGTAAGTTAAGAAATATTTACGGCGATCAATTTCTTATTTCTCATTAACGGAGGTTCCAAGCGACAGGTTTGGGTTAACAACTAAAAGTGAGTTTAAGTTTTCTTTTTTTCTTTACAACTTTAATTTCGGCATCTTAATCGCTGTCGCACTCTCTAAATATTTCACCATGTTTACATAAAAACCGAAACCTAGTTCATATGTTCTAAATAATATAAATAAAGGTTTATATTTTGGTTAAGCTTTTAAAGTTTTAAATGTAAGTTACTAAGAACATGTATTTTTATATATTTATTTACTATATATAAAAAGGATCCTTGCAATCAGCAATGAGTTTCGCGTTGATATCATTTAAGGAAAGCCCTAGTCAAACCTACTTTTATACGAAATATTGTCAACCAGCTATGTTACGGTTATAAGTCGCTGCTAAATAGAATTTAAATTCCTGAAAAATAAAAACTATTAACAGCCATGCTCCAGTTATAACAAATCGTCAAAAGTTACGAATTGACTGTCATATCGCAAAACTACGTGCTTCAGTTTTCTCAGAAAACTCAGAATCCTACGATTCGACACGGTTTCACAGGAGCTTCCGATTTCAAAAATGAATTACACAGAGCATATAAATATTAATCTTTATGACGGGAACAAATATATAAACTTATTTGCTAAAGTTGTAACTTTATATTTATACATTTGGACTTTTAATAAATTTATTTATAAATACGCTAATAGGCCTATTGCTCTGTACACTGAGCACATTCATGGGGGACGGTGGGAATTTTTTTGCCCGATTCACAGTGTCACCATCCACCATCTATTATCCGTCAAAAATCAGCTGATGTGAATATAATGACAAAGTTTTGGTCTGAACTGTGTATTGGCTTTAATAAAACAGTCCATATATTTACAATTAACGTTACTGTGGAGATAATGTTTTTTATCCCCAATCGGCCGACTAATTATTTCGAATTAAATAAAACTCGGCGCAGAAATAAAATTACGATATGTTCTTTAATGCGTGACATCCAAATTGCAAGTGTGGCTTGCCTGCCCTTTACATTGCTGCTCCGATCGCTGAGCGCAGCTTCGCTCGGCTGACGTCGGTAGGCAGACGCAAAGCGGAGATAGCGAAGAGCGAGCTGGCAGAGAGCGTTTAGCTGAAGGCAAGCACGCGCCAAGCTTTAACAAACAAATGAGTGACATAGACATAAGTAACAAACAAAATAAGCGGCTGAGGGCCAAGAATTAGGTGCTATTTGGCAAGCAACTAATCGGCTGGGTTCTGCTCCGAACATTCACCCCCCGTTGGAAGGCAAAGGCTTTCAACAGATCCATCCTGAAGGGGCAGAATCGCTATTTTTCCAACGGCCCTCTTGAAGATGCTTGCTTGGGCGCAGCTGGCGGCTACGCTGGGATGATCGTCGAATGCAGCAATCGCCGCTTCTTTACGAAGGCGCCTTGTCTTGATTACATCTTGATCATCGGGAACATCTGTAATTGCATAGAATGGCAGGAAATTTGGCAATGTAGAAATTGTTGAAAGTTGAATTTCATTTAGCGTGGATATGTAGGCTTTTAATATATCGAAAAGTTCGCGCTGCAGTTCCTGATTCTCCGATCGCAGTTTTTCCACTTGCACCTGGCACTCGAGCAGCTGCTTCCTGCATTGCTGCTCTAAGTTTTGGTACTCCAGCGTTGTGGGCCGAAAATCGTCATTAGAGATGCAAGAGGAATTTTCAAAAGCGGCTAAAACTGCACGCTTATTCTCCGAGCTATCAATGCTTCCTGACACTATCCAACCAAGTTTTGTCTCCTGCAATGTTGGCAATTGGTCTGACAGTCGAATCTGTCCAACGCACATTAAATCGAAGAACAAACCACAACCTATCAACAGATCGATACGTTGGGGCTTGGAGAAGTTAAGATCAGCTAGTTTTAGATTATTCGGCATGGGCCAATCCTTTCGTCTAGGCCAAAGTTAGGCTGCATTTCCGGAATTGAGTTGGTGACAATTGCAGCGAAGAAAGCTCGATAGCTTGCGTCCTGGGATTGTACAACTATAAGGTAGAATGGAATCTCCGATACCGGAGATGTTAACATAAGACGAGCGGAACTGATTAGCAAGTCTAGATGTTACAAAGTTTGCCTGTGATGCAGAATCCAAAATGGCACGACATGTGATAAGTGCTCCATAACGATCTGTTACATGGAGGAGGGCAGTAGGTAGCAACACATTCTGGCTAGGCTGAGATTTCTGACTCGAGGGGGGAGGGCTAGTATATTTGCTTGCCGAGCCGTTGAATTGGCAACATTTACCGTGCGAGCAGCCATCAACTCTCGCGACAGCCTGGACCTAACCATGACATAAACATTCGAAAAGTCCAGTCGGGCATCATGGGCTAACTGCAGGAAATCCAGCCTTTCAAGGCTCATTTGAGCGGCATCGAAATCCGCATTCATTCGCTCGATTTGTTCTAAGCAAGCTTGAAGTTCTGCCTCATCTAACTCGGCAAGCTCTTCCTTGGTGAGAAAGCGATCCATGGCCTTTAGTTGGCGCGCGATGGACTCAGCCTTGTGCTTGTAGAAATCTACATCACTCGGCATTGCTGCGTTCGCGACATTGGTATGCTCAGGTGCTGCCATGTTGAGGTTTGAAAAGAGTCACTCAGCACGACCGAAAAAGCCACCCTGTATACGTATAACCGTGGGAACCGAAAGCAAAGGGATTACAGCTAAAGCCTTTAGTTGTGCGGCTGTGCGAGCTGTCCGATTCCGCTTTGTACTCCGCTTGTATGTATTAGTGAGTTCGCTGCACTGCCTACCGCACTGCACTGACCGAATTGTCGCGACAGAGAAATTAATAGCCAGCAATGCGTGTATGTAGGTGTATGTAAGTATGTTTTAGCACCGAATTGTGCTTAACCGCCGAAAATTTGCTAAGGCTAACGAATGTCGATCGCGAATGATTATTAATTGACACTGCAACTCAGAGATCACGTCGGGGTCACCAAATTTTATGTGGAGATAATGTTTTTTATCCCCAATCGGCCGACTAATTATTTCGAATTAAATAAAACTCGGCGCAGAAATAAAATTACGATATGTTCTTTAATGCGTGACATCCAAATTGCAAGTGTGCTTGCCTGCCCTTTACATTGCCGCTCCGATCGCTGAGCGCAGCTTCGCTCGGCTGACGTCGGTAGGCAGACGCAAAGCTGGCAGAGAGCGTTTAGCAGGGCAAGCACGCGCAAAGCTTTAACAAACAAATGAGTGACATAGACATAAGTAACAAACAAAATAAGCGGCTGAGGGCCAAGAATTAGGTGCTATTTGGCAAGCAACTAATCGGCTGGGTTCTGCTCCGAACAGTTACTCTTTGGACTCCCTTAAAAATTGCAGCACCATTGTTTGGAAGTGAGTTTGGTCTTGACTGCTCGCAATTTGCTAGAGTATCTCTCGCTTTGTTTCCTGGTGCTGTAATTCTGTAATTTCCTGTAATTTATGCTGCTCCATCTGGACTTCAAGAATTTTCCGAACAATCTCCTCCAGACTTTTCAGTTTAATCCGCTTTGGTGCGGTGCCTTGGTTGCAAAAATAATACTAGAGCAGCAGTTGGATCTGTCCCGTTCTGGGAAATTTTCGGAACGGCAAGGCCCTACGGACCATCCCCGAAATAGATGGTGAATGGTGGATGGTCGTCAGTGGGAATAGCCTGTAACCGACTTTTTATAATAGATTTGAAGCCTTACAATTTTATAATATTTTTTTTAAATTGTAAGAAAACTTGTATTTTTTAATGCTATTTAGATTTAGTGGTTCAATTTTTCACATAACTGAAGTATCTTACATTTGTTTGTGTTGAACTTTGCAATTCTGAAAAGATTATAAGTGTATAAATTGTTTCTTAAGCTTACCATCTATTAAATACTAATCTATCAAATTCAAAATTTATATTATTTTTCAGTATTTTTGTTTAAAATTTTGACTTTTAAAACTTATGAAAAGTTGACAGAAAAATATTAATAAAGTTTCATTCTAGATATCATTTGTTAAAATATATTGTTTATTGTTTAGAGTTTAAAGTTCAACTATGGACAGCAAAACTGTGTAAAAATAAGAATGTAAAAATCAATCTCCTCGGTGAGATTGGGACTTACCGCCGCGAGAGCAAGAGACAACTGAGCTTACAGTTATTTGGTTTCGACTCGGAAGCTGCTGTATACGTAAATGAGCAGCTTTTAAGCTTAATCAAATATTCAAAGAGGCCATGCGAATGAAGAAGGACAAAATTCTTGCTGCTGTCTTTACTCGGCGCGGCGTCGTGCATGTACGATCCTTTGATAGAGAGGGCATTGAGCGTATGGATGAGCTTTTGTCGCTCGCACCAAGTAAAGAGCTCGCACAGCCTCTCCCCTCTTCGACTGGCTCCCCCACTTGCGCCTCGGTTGGATCGGAAAGAGCAGCAACAAATAGCTTTCGCTCTTAATAACTTACATACTGCTATCTTATTCTTATCAGTTGAGTTATTGTTTCTATTATCTTTTTATCACTGTTCTTACACACAGTTAGTTTATTGTTTTTCAAATATTGAGTTTGCGCCCCTAATAAGTTCTCACTTTGGTGAGATAGGTAGTTCCATAGCCGGTAGTAGTATGATTAAAATAATTAGAACCACAACCCAGTGAATGTCCTATTGAATATCTCTTCTTGGAAATCGCAAGCAAAATGAACAAGATAATTTTATTAGGCTGTATTTATGGACCCAATCGTACAATCGATTAGAGCAACTTTTAAATATTATCTCGGACATCTCAGTGTCATACACTGACATAATACTTGCAGGTGATCTCAATAGCAATCTCTTGAAAGAGAGTCATCTATTGATAACTTTGCCTCCCATGGT